GCTCTCCTTGTGGGGGTACTCCTTGAATGCGGTTGCACACAACGTAGCCTTGAAAGGCCACTTCCCTTCTTCGATAAGTTTCCGTTTCCCAAAATCACACGTGGGAGAACTTAGCTCTCGACCTCCGCGCATGCGGGCCTCAATAGTATGAGGAATCAACGTGCAGGCGTGCGGGCATCTTGCGACTGCATCACGTGCAAAGGGCCACTGCCATGAAGTTGCGCAAAACCACACCTTGGCCAGCCTGAGAAATAAGTGCGGCACTAAAGAAGCTTGACAATGCTCGAAATGCTTGCTGGCGAAGCCTCCCGCCAGACTTTGGGTTGGCAACTGAGCGCAGCCCTGCGAACAGGAAGCTTCCGCCTGGACGAGTGCTCAAGGCGTAGTTCTCCGTTTTTTTTGCGCTTTTTCTTCGGGTCCGATGCATTTTCGCGAGGAGACTGTCGATGTTCGCCGTGTGTCGCGTTTATAAACACGACTGCCTGGCTAGCAGCTAGCACGTTCGCGGCACGATTCCCCATTTGTCCGCTAGTATATAATATGTTCTTCGGCAGGTGCTAATCATGCCGTGTCGCTGAAAATACCGGCTTGCCGATCGCCTTCGCTGTGTTCTCCGGTAAGTGTCGCGACGACTCTCGCGGCGCTGGCGGGGCGTCTGGTTTCGAAACGATTCGTTTTTGCGAGTGACGACCCTGCGAGCCCGAGTACGACCTTTCGTGGGACTTATGACTTTTCTCGACAGGCTCTTCAAAGCCCAAGATCTCGTTGCATGACAACTGCTACGGTAATATCCTGCAGCCTCATCTGAGGCATACTGACTCTCTCAGGACCTCTTCTACGACAATCTGCGACGCCAGCATGTCACACCTTCTCTCGAGAACTTGTCAGCTCAGATGACCTGTTTGCGACCCCCACGTGCCCCATAATTCCACGGTTGGCACAGATCCTCTGGCGCTTGCTCTTGTCGTAGCATTGGTGTCAAGTTGTGAATGCACGGGCTGGCTGGTAGCGGCCAGCGTGGCCCACAAATGGACCAAAGTTCCACAGATGCAGGGGGCCCATGCTATGTCGGTACGCACGCCAAGACCTCCTCCTACACACCTGTCCTCGAAACCGTTGCCACACTCACTCCTCACGTCGCTCTCACCAAGCCTCGACACACAACTGTCGCATGACCTCTTCTGTTGACCTTATTAAAGGGCTTTCGAACCACATTCATTATAGGACCGGATAACCCCACATGACAATGACTCCCGCATAACTATTACCAAATGAGTTCAGAGGAAAGTAGTTATGATACGTGCGTTTGCGTGTGTAGGCGTGTGCCATGTTGGTGATGGTGCATGTGCGCTGGGTCGAACGTGCGCGTGCCTCTGCGTTGCGTGTTGTCTGTGTCCAGCTGTGGCTCTCCACCTCTCTAGCTCTCTAGCTCTCCAGCTCTCCGGCTCTCTAGCTCTCTAGCTCTCTAGCTCTCTAGCTCTCTAGCTTTCTAACTCTCTAGCTCCCTAGCTCCCTGGCTCTCGAGCTCTCGAGCTCTCTAGCCCTAGCTCTAATTCTAGCTCTAGCTCTAATTCTAGCTCTAGCTCTGCAGCTGTAGCTCATTGTAGCTCTAGCTCTAGTTCTAGCTCTGGCTCTAGCTCTAGCTCTGCAGCTGTAGCTCTAGCTCTAGTTCTAGCTCTGGCTCTAGCTCTAGCTCTGCAGCTGTAGCTCTAGCTCTAGTTCTAGCTCTGGCTCTAGCTCTGCAGCGGTAGCTCTAGTTCTAGCTCTGGCTCTAGCTCTGCAGCTGTAGCTCTAGCTCTAGTTCTAGCTCTGGCTCTAGCTCTAGCTCTGGCTCTGGCTCTAGCTCTAGCTCTGGCTCTGGCTCTGGGTCTAGCTCTAGCTCCAGCTATAGCCTGTCATGCTCTAGCTCTAGCTCTCTCTTTCTAGCTCTCTCTCTTTCGATTCTAGCTCTCTCGGTCTATCTCTTTCTCTCTCTCTCTCTCTCTCTCTCTCTCTCTCTCTAGTTCTCTCTCTCTCTCTCTGTCTCTCTCTCTCTCTCTCTCTCTCGCTCTCTCTCTGGTCTCTCGCAGAGCACTCTGGAAAGAGCGTTTACTCGCGTTTACAATCTTCCGGAGCCGTGGGACCCTGAGCATCCCACAGAGCCCTCTGGAGAGAGCGATTTGGCAGCACAATCACTCTGAGCTCAAAGCCTGTGCATGTCCACACCCCACTCAGTCGGCTGATAGTCGCGTTAATTAAACTTTTCTGGGGCCGCCCTTTTCCGGAGCCGCCTTATCGCGCCCGCCTCGTCCCACAGAGCCCTCCGGAGAGAGCGTTTAGTCGCGTTATAGACTTTTCCGGAGCCGCCGCAGAGCTCTGGGTCCTTATCGCGCGCGCCTCATCCCACAGAGCCCTCAGGAGAGAGCGCACGCGCGCGATAAGATCGCATGCAGAGCTTTGCGGCGGCTCCGGAAGAGTCGAACGCGACGAAACGCTCTCTCCAGATGGCTTTCTCTGCATGTGGGATGAGGCGCGTGCGATATAAGGTCGGAAGAGTCCAACGTGACTCTAAACGCTCTCTCCAGAAGGCTTGAGGCGCGGACGATAAGGTCCCATTGCAGAGCTCTGCGGCGGCTCCGGAAGAGCGTCTAAACGCTCTCTCCAGTGGGCTCCGTGGGATGCGGCGCGCGCGATATCCCAGAGCTCTGGAGCGCCTCCGGAATTGTATAACGCGACTGAGCGCTCCCTAGGCGCGCGCGATATTCGCTATCTCCAGAGGGCTCATGGGATGAGGCGTGCGTGTAAAGGTCCTCTGCGGCAGCTCCGCAAGAGTTAAACGCGACTTCCCAGAGAGCCCTCTGGACAGAGCGTTCAGTCGCTCTAGACTCTTCCGGAGCCGCCGCAGAGCTCTGGGACCCTATCGCGCGCCCGCGCGCACCTCATCCCACAGAGCCCTCTGGAGAGAGCGTTCCGGAGCCGCCGCAGAGCCCTGGGACCTTGTTGCGCGCGACTCATTTCACAGAGCCCTCTGGAGAGAGCGTTTAGTCGCGTTAAACTCTTCCGGAGCCGCCGCAAAGCTCTCGTGCACAGGTGTGTACTGTATTATACTGTGCTGTGGCGCTGGCGCTGGTGGGTGGCAGTGGTGGTTGTCACGGTGGGGGTGGGGTGGGGTGCATGGAGTCATTAGCCTGCAGCCCCTGCTCGTGCTGATGGCTGTGATGTGGCACAGCCGAAGTCTCCCAGCTTGGTCCACGGAATCAAGCGGCACGTATTTCAGGATGTCATCCGATTGCAACGTGAAGCTGGCAACTTGAGTAACCTTGCGCAGCAACTACGCTTAGTGTGCTGTACGTGCTTACGCTCAGAAATTGGTGGCAGTGGCGGGGGTATATGGAGCAGCGATATGTATCCGACCCACGAACAAGCCTCGTTCTACCTGCAAATTTTGTATTGTTCGTGCCGGCAACGACAGTGTGGTGGTGGTGTCTGTGACCTGCGAACAGGCCTCGTTCCACCTGCAACTCGACCTTTGTACTGTTCGTGCTGGCAATGGCAGTGTGGCGGCGGTGCCTGTTCGTGCATTACCGCAACCGACGCGCGAACAGGCCTCGTTCTAACTGCAACTCGAATTTTGTACTGTGCCGGCAACGACAGTGTGGTGGCGGCGCATGTTCGCGAAGACGGCATTACCGCAAACGACCTGTGAACAGGCCTCGTTCTACCTGCAACTCGGATTTTGTTCTGCTCGTACCGCAACCGACCCGAGCACGCACCTCTTCTTACCGTCTGCCTGGTACTTGCCTATGCTCCCTCCAGTAGTGCTGGCACCGAAGGGCGATCTGCAAGCAGGCAAAATTCTACCTTCTTCTGGCCCTGGGTCGTGGTGGTGGTGGTGGTGGTGGTGGTGGAAGAGAAACGCTACACGCATCCGAGGAGCACAACCAGCTCCATGCAGCTGCGGGCAGCAGCATCTTGTCCCTTGCAGTAAGCCGAAGCCTCTGTGAGCCGAAGTGATTCATTTTTTGCGAGGATCTTCAGAGTTGTACTCGTGACATGAAGCTGGCCGGCAAGACGCCGTGACACCCAGCAACAGAGCGTTGTCGTTCGGCTGGTGCAGGACACCGGTCACTCCGGGCCATCGGCACAAATGACGCACGGCAGGCGTCATCTAGGAAGCCTTTATGCTGGCCTTCGAGCACGGCCCATGGGTGGTATCAGCCGGTGGCCGTCGTGGTAGATGAAGCAGATCACCTTGGCTCAGCTAGCTTCTTGACAGATGCAGGACAGATGGTAAGACACATGCAAGATTCTGCCGCCTCCCACAAAAACCGACAGGCCAAGCAACCATCCGCCGGAAGGCGATAACTTGCCGTTCTCACAACCTTCGTCTGGGCTGGCAGCACATCAGACAGCAGCAGGATCACCTGACAGAGCAGATTGTGGGGATGAGAAATGGAGAACCATGGAGGCTTCCTCAGCTTGAAGTGTCTCATGCTGCCTCAATCGAGACTCTTACTTGTGCCGCTTGCACGGTGTAGCCGGAGATCGACAGCGGCGATCCAGAGCACAAAAGGCCGCCTCGTGCAAAACAGCATCTTCACGCAACGAGTTCTGGCTCTTCGATTGTCCTCGGAAGTTGCCTCCAGAACCATCGGAATCCATCACAACCTGATCGGAAACGAGTGACGTCACAGAGATGCACAATATTGCGCAGATTTCAAAATCAAAATGCAACATAGCAGGTCAAAATCTGTGGAAGTCGGCCAATTTCCCACCCCAGCGTGCCTCAGCCTCCAGCCGAGGACCCACCCACGAGGCCTGGGAACATGGTGGAACAGAGGTAGAGCGTGACCAGTCGCAGCTATGTCACGCCTCGGCATGATGAAGGCGTTCTTCGTAGACCCTAGCAAAGCGGCATATTCTTTTTCATTCCTGCGGTAGCCGTCCAAAGAAATGCAGAAGCTTTAACGGCATCAAGAAAGCATCACCTTTCAGCTCCTTGCTTGAAGCGCTCCGGCTGATCATGCGGCATCCTCGTTGTTGGCCGATGCGGTGCCACCAGCGTCCTTTGCGGAGGCCTGCAGCGGACAACAGAAATGCAACGGCAACACCTATACCGCTTCCCTCAGTCACCGAGTGAGCTTACAAAAAGCGGCATCCGCACCTTCAAGCTGACTACCTCGAGTCATGGACGCTTCCATAGCAGATGTGCTGAGAAGCCACTTCCGGCTCTCACCTGAGGACCCTGCAGCTGTCTGCAAGTCTCGCAGACCTGCCTGCAGCCCGAAGCAGCCGAAGCACTCCAACATCGGCTTCCCAGCACTGCGAACTCGCCGGGGACCTCGTCTACATTCGGTAGCAGATCCTGCCAGCATCACAAACTCTGAGTCCTGTGCGCGGCCTGAACTTCGAGGCAGCTCTTCGGAGTCACCTGTTATGCCCCATCCTCGCGGAGTCCTCGTTGGACTCGTTCAAACACCGAACCTCAGCTGTCCGTACTAACCTGCGTATGTTCGCACACACCAGATGTACACGCTCGTGTCTTCTGTCTGTTCATGCTAGCCTGCGTATGTTTGCAAACCTATAGAGTAAAAGGAAAGCAAGCAAAAGCAGCAAGAAAGCCGGTTAGCTAGATAGGTACACGGATAGATTCGTGCATGTTCGTACAGCCGCGTGTAGGCGCGCACATGTAGATTTAGGCATATGTGCGAAACCAATGCCCAAGCTTTGTTTGATCGCCTCGCACGGCTGCAAGGTGCCTGCCAACATCCGCCCCCCTGCTGACCTCCGGCGGGTGTGCCTTTGCCCAATTCAAACGACACCTCCTTATATGCAAAAACTGTAATCTGGCTCGAAGCGTCGAAAGGTCGAAATCTTGCTTACCCGGGTAGACTCGAACCATGTTTTGCTCACACGGCATCCGCAAGACCTGACCCTTTACCCTGAAAACTGAGGGCTAAGCCAAGCGCAGAGGCCTCTCCACTGTCTGTCGCCTTCGAAAGAAGGGCCCCAAACATGGGAGAGCCATGTAATCCCGCCTGAGCGAGTCGGCTCAACTACTGTACCAACACTTTCCGTCGCCCATTGAGATCCTCGCCAGTCTTCGGCTTGACCTACTGCTGCAGGAATGCGGCCGGCGTCAAACCTCACGGAACTGTTGCGACATGACATTTATACATATAATAATCAGACGCAAAACATGCGCGCACATACATATGTAGATCCTTACATACTTGTAATACATACATGTACAGGAGCATAGGTCACATCCGCCTGTTGCCACACGAAAGAAACGGTGTGCAACGTGGGCCCCACATTTGCTCACAATGGGACCCAATGGAAGGTTAGTCTATAACGGTGTTCATGCAAAATCGCACAGCAACTAACGACAGGAAGCCAAAATGACTTCTGAGCGCAGGGAGCAACAGGGTTGAGACTTGTCGTCGACTTTAAGCGACAAGCAGTTTGCCGGAGGCTGCAGAGAACATCTGCGGTTCAAGGCACGTTCGGACTTGTCGAAAGGGCCAGCAGCAGGACATTGAATCCGAAAAAAAGCATGAATATCGAAGAAATGTGTTGGAAGGCGAAACTGCGGGTCCCTCGGCTGCTACACACCAATCTCTAAAGCAGCACCTGCACTTGGCCGTGCGAGGCCCGATGAAAGAGCCCCTTCCACTCCCACAATCAAACGAAGCGCCATCAACGAAGGTTCCTCAACCTGACAACGAACTAGCACTCTGCTTCGCCTTTTGCCAGCAACAAACATTACGTACCCGCTAGCACGAGTGCCACTGCTAAAAGGTGCTCGCATTCTAGACATCTTGGAAACTCCACGATCAAGGCCGCTCCCATTAACAAAGCTTTCTCGACTTGACGATGACATGACGCCGCTTTTCTCCTCTTTCCAGGCACCCAGTTTCCGTGAAGACAAGACATAACAGAAACATTGCGACAAGTAAGGTTAACAACGTAGTCGGATCCACACAGCGACCATTCTCCATGAGACCCAGAATTTCCGCTGCCAGAAGCAGATTGGGCCCCATCAAAGAAGATTATTAAACCCTACCATGCAATGCCACTGTACTTCGGTTGTTTCCAAGCGGCTCAGTTGCGGGCGGGGCTTTTTTCACACCCCGAAAAGGCTCCTCATCACTTTATCGCTTGGGGTCTTTTTTCACGCCGGGTTCAGATCCTCAGGGTTTGGGGTCCAGAGCAAAAGGAAGCAATTACTTTTAAGGAGGCAAAAAATCACGTAACAGGCCATACATAGAAACCCACGTAAAAGACTTTAGAACATTAATAATATCCATTAAGTTTTGAACACTAAGAAACCGATATAACTAAATCACGATTTCGGTTCATCATATATCTCCAACACACACCCCTATTGGGCGATTCCGGAGCATCATATGTCTTGAACAGGCGCCCCTCATTCGGCGATTCCTGCTATCACATATACCTTCAACATGTCAGACCCATGGGGATTCCGGTTATCACATATACCTTAAACACGCCAACATTGGCTACCATGTACTTCAACACGCCCCCGATGAGCGCTTCCGGAAATTTGGCGATTGCGGCTATCATATGCTTTAGACACGCCAGACCAGTGGGGTTCATCATATATATATATATATAACACGACCCCGATTGGGCGACTTTGGTTCATCATATATCTTAAACGAGCCTCCCTCACTTGGCGACTCCGGCTATCATATACCTTGAACACGCGCGATTCCGAGTCTTCATGTATATTTAAATTTAAACACGCCCCTCATTTGGTGATTCCTGCCATCATGTACCTCGAATACGCCAGGCCAGTGGGGTTCATCATATATCTTAAACACATCACCCCATTGGGAGATTCCGGTTTATCATATATGTTTCAACACGCCCCTCCTTTGGCGATTCCGGCCATCATATGCCGTGGACGCGCCAAACCAGTGGGGTGCATCATATCTTTTGAACACGCCCCCCGATTGGGCGATTCTGGCTTATCATACATATACATATATATATATATATATATATATACAAATATATATTTGTTTTTTCTTATCTATTTATTTATTTATTTAATTTATTTAAACACACTTGTCATTTGGCGATTCCGGCTATCATATACCTTAAACACGCCCTCCGATTGAGCGATTCCAGGTCATCATAGATCTTAACCAAGCCCCCCGATTGGGGGATTCCGGTTCATCATATACATTTAAACACCCCCCTCATTTGGCGATTCCGGCTATCATATACCTTAGACATGCCAGACCATTGGGGTTCATCATATATCTTAAAAACGTCCCCCGTTGGACGATTCCGTTTTATCATATATACTTATAAACACGCCCCTCATTAGGCGATTCCGGCCAGCAAAAACCTTCAACACGACACACCAGTGGGGTGCATCATCTATTTTAAACACTTTCATGGGACCTACCGCGTTTCTGGCTGATCATTAGGATATTTCCGTTGGTTCTTTTGGGTTATCTGCGCACATTTTCACCCGCGTTAGAGATTAGCTTAACAATACAACAGAAAATCAATACTGAAAAATAGAAAACCACGTAAAGACTTGAGAACACGAAAAATATCCGTTAACAACAATTAAAACATATGAAACACGCCGGACTAGTGGAGTTCATCACATATCTTGCTAGTAAACGCATCCCCCATTGGGCGATTCCGGTTTATCATATATGTTTAAACACACCCCTCATTTGGCGATTCCGGCAATCATAGACGTTAAGGGCCAGCATATACCTTCAACGCGCCACACCAGTGGGGTGCATCATCTATTTTAAACACTTTCATCGGACCTACCGCGTTTCTGGCTGATCATTAGGATATTTCCGTTGGTTCTTTTGGGTTATCTGCGCACATTTTCACCCGCGTTAGAGATTAGCTTAACAATACAACAGAAAATCAATACTGAAAAATAGAAAACCACGTAAAGACTTGAGAACACGAAAAATATCCGTTAACAACAATTAAAACATATGAAACACGCCGGACTAGTGGAGTTCATCACATATCTTGCTAGTAAACGCATCCCCCATTGGGCGATTCCGGTTTATCATACCCCTCATTTGGCGATTCCGGTGATCATACACCTTAAACGCGCCAAACCAGTGGGGTTCATCATATATCTTAAACACGCACCCCCAATTAGGCGATTCCGGTTTATCATATATGTTGAAAAACCCTCATTTGGCGATTCCGGCAAGCATAGATGTTAAGCCGGCCCCGATTCGGCGACTCTGGACCTATATATTATAATATATATATATATATATATTATATGTATATGTTATATGTATATGTAATAGTAATGTAATGTAATGTATATGTATATATATAATATATATAGAGTATGTTATATATATATAATATTCCATTACATATCTTGTTTTTAAACACGCCCCTCATTGGGTGGAGATTGTTTTTGGGCCCTTGTGTTTTTTCGGGCCCGTTTGTTTGTGATTTTCCTTAGGTTTTCCTAGGGAAAACACTATTTTCCTTGCGTCTTGGACGAATTTAGTGTGATTTTCCTTGGCTTGCTGTAAGAAAACACATTCTTTGCCTTGATTTTTCCTTCGGGAAAACACCGCTTTTCTTACATGTTGGACGGGTTTGGTGCGATTCTCCTTGGATTTCCGCTGGAAAACCTACATTAACTCGCGTAAACGTACATTATCTTAGGTTTTCCTCGGGGCAACGCCTTTTTTACCATCGTGGACGGACTTCGTGTGATTGTCTTTGGTTTTCTTCAGAAAAAAACCTACAATACGTCGAGCGAAGAGTACGTAACCTCGCGTTGTTCTAGGGAACAAACCGTTTGCCGTACATTTTGGACTCATTTTGGACTTTGCTTCTTTGCTTGGTTTTACCCAAGAGAAACACTAGTTTGCTTGCATCTTGGACGGATTTGGTGTGAATTTTTCTTGGTTCCGGTCAGGAAATCTTACACTGCCTTGCTGTTGTTGTTGTCGTTGTGGTTGTGGCTGTGGTTAGTTTTGCTGTTGTTGTCTTTGCTGCTTTAGCGGGGAATTAAGTCTATAAAAAGGCGGGGGGTTGGGCGCAGGCCCCCATTTTGCAAACCTTATAATCCTTCACGATTGTTTGTGTTCTCTTCGCGTCAAACCCTCCTAAGCGTTGTTGTCTGGCTTCCCCTTCTTGTGTGTTGGCGAATATGCTTTTGTGCATCTCTTCGCGGCTTTAGTGGGCGGGGAGTTTAGTCAAAAAAAAGCGGGGGGGTTGGGGGGGGGCAACCCCCCCCCCCTTTGCAAACCTTTTAAATCCTTCACGA